CCGTCTGAACAAAGCTGGAAGGTCTTGCATGAATACAAAAAACAATCTGGCAACAAGTGAATGGTGAGGAGCAGTATATGAACTGGCTTGACTGGAGCAGCTGGGTGCACAGGTGAGCAGAGTGGCTGATGAGGAGGCATGGCTGAATGGCAAGTGGAAAAGTCCTGAGATGGCTGAGGTGACCAGGTGAGGAGGAAGTCAGACTGTGACAGATATAGGCATTGTTGTGGAAAAAACCCTCAAAAAATCAGCCCCAGCATCCCGTGGTCAAACTGTGACACCATTTCCGGCAATTTCAGGGCTTCTTTACGTGAAATTTTCATGTTGGGGTCCACACGTGTAACGCTGGCACTTGTCACGGCCGCAGCACACCCCGACTCGCACGAAGTGCAAGGGCCTGATCATCACTGCTTGCAGTTTTAATTAGGGACCGAGCACTTTAATTAGGGACCGAGTGCAAGGACCCTATTGTTCCTCTAGGAATTATTATTATACCTCTGGGACTCTGACCGCATATTTGGCCCCCGCAACATGCTCAAAATGGCATGAAAATTTGCACAAAATTCAAACGTAGCAAAAATACCCATATGACAATATGCCAAACGTCTAAGCCACGCCCCCCAGAATCAGCCCCCAAGACACGTAAGGCCCACATGTACGAAAATTGCTACGCATGTGTATCATGATAAAAGAAGCAGAAAAGCCTCTTGGACCCATGCCCCAAAACCCACAGGAAGTCTGCAATTTCAATTTTTAATTTTCCTCATTTTGTGGTCATTTTGACTTTTTGGGCTTGTATTTGAACAAACTCCTCCTAGGGACTTTATCAGATCTGCTTCAAAATTGGTCAGTACAGTCAAAACATGGTGCTGAATGAACGCTGATTAAGTTGTAACTGTACGTTGAAGGGAGTGTCCGTGGCGTGCCGTCAAAGTTGGCCATTTTGAAGTCTGTGGTCTTGTATTTGAACAAACAAACTCCTAGGGAATTTATCAGATCTGCTTCAAAACTTGACAGTACTCTTGAATAATGTTGCTGATTACAAGTTGTGCGATTTGTGACTGTACGTTGAAGGGTGTGTCCCTGGCGTGCCGTCAAAGTTGGCCATTTTGAACGAATGTCACACTGTGATGTCATTTTTGGCATTTCAGGGCTTCTATTTTAACTAACTCCTCCTACAGGTTTTATTGGATCTACTTCAAAATTGGTCAGTGTAGTCAGTTTTTTTCGTGGAAAATTGTGCCCGTGGCGTCCCGTGGCATCCAATTTCAAACCTTCGTCATGAAAGAGGGATTCGTCATAACTTCTGAGTACCTGATCCGATCTCAATGAAACTTCACATGTTTGATAAGAGTCCCACCCTGAACACGTCTATGTGATAATATTCAGTAATAGTAAGAGCGCCACTTTTATACTTCCATGTTCTACTCCTAGCAGGATGATCAGATCCAGCTGAAATTTACTTATGAAATGCAAAACAAATTGTTGATGATATGTGTTGAATGTGGTGAGGGGGCGTGTCTGTGGCGTGGCGGGAACTTTTGATGTACCGCCACAAAACACAAATTCGCTATAACTTGAGTGTACATTGTCCAATCGGCTCCACACTTCACATGTCTGATAAGAGTCCCGCCCTGAACACATAGTGATAGCGCCACCTAGTGGCAACAGGAAGTAAGTACTGCGTGGCGATTTTGAGCTGATTTACGTGAGATTTTCATGTCGTGGTCTGCACGTGTTACGACGGCACGTGACGCGGCCGCAGCACGCCCCGAGTTGCGTGTAGTGCGAGGTCCCGTCCAACGCTGCTTGCAGCTTTAATTATTATTAAGTTTTGTTTGGGAAAAGACTGCAGAAAACAAGACAAAAGACTGCTGAAAAAAAAACAGGAGAGCATGGGATATCATCAGAGGGCAGACAATAAGATGACTCTGGTTCCTGTGTTTCTAGTGTTTCTAAGGGTAATGAAAGAACAGGACAGAATAGAGTGATTCCAGTGGTATTATCGGCAACCTTTGTTGCACATTTTTTGTTTTTCCATTGTCAAAATAAAAATGCTTGGTGTAAATGGGGTTATACTCAACTGGGTACCTTTTTAAGTAATTTTCTTTGTTTACATAAGCTTTGGACATTCTTATGTTCGATTTAGGCCTATGACCAGTTCTGCTGGCATAAATAAGTCTGTCTGACATGGATTATTTGGGGGGGTATTTATTGATATGAACTGATGTGAAAGTCTCTTCTCCCACCTCACCATCTTTTCTATTGCTCTGCACTTAGTCCTCCTTCTCTTCTAATTTGATTAATTAACACTTAGCTTTGATGTGACAGTAACAGTACACAAGAGTCTACTCTGTTTGAGAATTTGTTTGACATAAGCTTTAAAATGTACCCTTGCACCAATGGATGGCTTCAAATTCTTTGAACTGTAGCAAATAACTCACTATCATGGTCCTTATTTTATATCTTAGGACGCTACAAATTATATTGAACAAAAAAAAATCCTGATAAGCCAGAAGTTAGTTGTTGCCATGGAGATGATATACTGTCTTGTCTAGTTGCATTGGTTTTTACTGGCAAGGTTTCAGAAATATTGCAGACATGGGCATTGTAAGTAGTTGTAAGTTTCACATTGTTGGGGTGCACGGTAGCTTACCTTGTAGAGCACATGCCCTATAGAGTCCATACCACGGCAGCCCTGCGATTTTCTTTCTCCCTCCTTTCCTGTCTGTCTTCACCTGTCCTATGGAATAAAGGCATTAAAAAAAGACAACGCACACACAGATATATATATATTACCAAGAATCAGAGTACAGTAGATGGCAATTCTCTCATTGTCTACTAAAACTAATGTAATTTTAGCTCAGATTTACTTTTTAAAGATGTCAGTATTTAACATTTTCAGTAATCATCAGTTACCATTCCCAATTACCGTGGGTGAGAAATAAAGTTTCTAACAATAATTAACCAAATTTCTGGTTCAGGAACAATTACTCCAGTATTACAACGATTTACACACATGGAGAAGGTGGAACAATTGGAGAGAAGCTCAAAGTGTCTCTGGTGGAGAGGAATGGCAATGAATGGGTTTCAGGAAGTGGGAATGTGGCCGGTAGAGGGTAGCATGGAGATTTTAAAGGGTGGCAGAAATATATGCTTGTGGGCGGCTGTGGTGACGTGGCAGAGCAGGTCGTCCCCTAATGGGAAGGTTGTTGGTTTGATCCCTGGCTCCTGACGCATGTTGAAGTCTCTTTGAACATAATACTGAACCCCAAATTGCTCCTGATGCCGTGCATTGGTGTGTGAATGTGTATGAATCAGTTAGTTTCCGTTCCGGCTTTGCCATCACTGAGTGAGTGTGTGTGAAAGGGCAAGTGGCAAGTAGTGTAAAATCGCTTTGAGTGGTCGGAAGACTAGAAAGGCGCTATACAAGTACAGGTCCATTTACCATTTACCATAAAATGTTGAAGCCAATGAATCTGTGAAGACTGGGCGTTGATGATGATGGGTTGGTGCATAACAGCAGCATGAATGTAAGAGAACAAGATTTAAAAAATGAGCAGCAAGATGATAGGCTAACAATACTATTGGGCAGATGAGAGAAGCTGATGAGAACAACAGATGACATACCAACTGATAATGACAGTAAGGAAATATGTGTAAGGGGAGTGAATGTCAGGATGGAAAGAGAAATTAACAAAAGAATAGTCTACAACTTTAATTATATCTTCATTAGAGACAGTACACTTTGCGTATTTTTACACACACACACACACACACACACACACACACACACACACACACACACACACACACACACAACCAACCAACAGACTCAACAGGAAAAAGATGTGTCTGGCTAAGAGAGAAGTGATTGTAATTATTTGTTTCATTAGGGGTTCCAAAAATCAGTAAACAGTGGACATGGTTGCAAGTTGAAGTTGATTACTGAGGAAAAACATATCCCAATTGGCATGTTGTTCTGGACATGAGGAAAACATATGTATATACCTGTAGTTGAGTTCCTTTGTTCAGGAAAATGATATATTGTTGCATTTTAGTTCAGGTCAGGTTCATGGTCATGTTTTACAAACAAACTAGGAGGACTAAACCTGAAGTTAAACCAACTAATTGGTACCTCAGTGATTGGCCAATGTTGGTAATTGTCCTCCTGCATTATCAGGAACCACTTGGGGAAATCAAATTCTAGCGATTGACTGACTTATAATGACAGATATATATGTATATTTGTGTTCTTTGGTGTCAAAAAAGTTCTTGAAGAAAAAACGGATTATAAGCATTATTATCCTGTGGTTTTCTTTCACATCTCTTGGAAGCGGACCAAGACCACCCTTTTCAAGTGGACTCGGTCCAGTTGTTTGGACCACACCAGGGTTTGACTGACAACTTTCATACCAGTCCAAACAAACTGTACTAACTGTGCAAACCAGGATCACACACCATTTTCTGTGCATTGCACTGGTTGACTCTGGATAGGGGTCCCCCCCCGTCAGCTGTGTCCTGACAGAATAACTGTTCCTCTGGGAGAGGGGGGTCTTACAGTACATGCAGAAGTGTTTGGCCTGTGGTTTGGTCTTGTAAAAAAAGATATCCTCCTGAAAGCCTAGATTTGAAAAGATGGTTGAGCATGTTTCATTGTCTGTGTCCAACAGAAGCTCTGGTATAAATTGATATTTTATCCAGTTTTTATGACAGATCCTTTTATATTTTTTAATAATATAAAATATGTTTTATTATTTTATATTCAGATCCTTGTGGTTTTACTTAAGGTTTTAACTGGGTAAAAGGTTTTAGTCATCAGATGTCTGTATAAGTACATATACCCGTTTGTTTCAACTTGAATCCAAGCGAGGGTAAACCAACCAGTCGCCTGCATGCAGAAGCAACAACTTTAAAACAATCATTAGGGATTGGCTGAGGAAAATGACATCACAAGTCTCTCTCTCTCTCTTTCTCGCTCACTCGCTCTCCCTGTCGCTCGCTCTGAACGCTTCATGTTGTGCAAGAAACAATGCAATTGAAGCTGAGCGGTCAGATAATTATTTTCGGGAGAATTAATGAGTACTAAGTATGAGTGATAGATGTTGATTTGGTATGTGTTTTTATGATAGACACACATGACAAACCGGCTGATTGACAGAATCTGCCCCATGAGAAGAAAACAGCAATATAGAAATTGGTAATGTTATACCAGAAAGAAGCATAAGAGAAGGAAATGATCATCATCACAGAGTAAACAGCGGAAGAATAAGGGGGAAGATAAAATAAAGAAATAAAGGCATATAGAATTAAAGAAGGACTACGGACGAATTTTGGTGCGACTGCCGGAGGAAAACTTGGAGACAGGGAGGAGGAGAAGAGAGAAAGCGGAGAAATACGGGAGAGAGGTCTCAGGTTGGCAGTTGTTGCTGCTCCGCCATGCAACATGAGTAACGACAGTAACGGAGTCGGAGGGCTTCAGCCCTTCTGGAACTTCAATGGTGAGTGAAAGGCTTAAATCATTTTGTAAACGGACACGCCACAGTTGTTAATTCTAATATGACCATACACAGTTAATGCAGGTAATATAAAATAAAATACGGTAGGTAAATTATGACCCCCGAGTGCAACAACCTTTTAAAAGAAACAAAATAAGATTATTTAGGCTTTCTCTCAGGTGCACTGGTCAAAAACGTAGTTCTGTGATAGCCTATGTTTTGGAATTAATGTATGGTTGACAATGGTATGGTTGACAATTGGATTTACCCCTAAATAGGTGGTCAATGTGAGTTTTACTGGACATCTTACCCCGCACTACATACGTATTAAATTAAGATGCACTTTTGAAAAAATGAAGCATGATATGTTAAACCCAACAGAACATTCAACATTTATTTAATTAACGATAAAATAACTTAATACACCAGTAACTGAATAAGTATATTGACAAATAGGATAAATATATAGATCGGCTATGTGAAACAACATGAGACAAAAACATTATTAGGCAAGTGATAATTTGACATTCACATGGTCAGTAATCAATATCATGTTGAAAATGCCACAATAAGTCACAATTGGTATTTCTTTTTCATGACCATATCTAAATGGTGAATTGTTATGTTGTTTTTGGAATTCAAAATCCAAAGCACCTTTTCCTCAGGTGTAAGAGGAAAAAATTAAGAAAAAGGGATGTAGGGTGACAAGCGGTGGTGAAGGAGGACATAACAAAAACAGTGACTGAGAGAAGACTAACGGGATGAGGTTTTCAGAGATCGGAACCCCTGGATAAAGCCCTTCTTCCCTCTGTTACTATCCCATCTTCTTTTCTCCATATCATCTGTTTCCTCCTCTTTTCATGTTGTGGAATATAAAAGCGACAAGGCTTCAAAATAGAGAAAAATATGAAAGACATTAGTTCAAAGTGTATAAATTGACGATTGAAATATATGTGGAATTACATGTGTAAAAACATGTTGTTGTAGAGATCCCATAGTGTGTGTGTGTGTGTGTGTGTGTGTGTGTGTGTGTGTGCGCGCGCCTGCACGTGTGTGTTGTGACAGACTTGCAGACCTAAAAGGAAAGATACTGAGAAACATAGGAGGGAGAGTAAGAGAAATGTGGGAAATGGTAAAATACTTATGCCTACTGATTTAACATGGCCATTTTTCAGTTGGACTGCTACTTTAATTGTCTGGGTGATAAATATTAGACTGTATGGATTTATACGATTTTCCCAACTCATTTACATGTACTGTATGGAGAAGCAAAATATTAGACACACCCTATACTGCAGACCAATATAACACAACACAAAAACAACCCCCTCAAGCTAAAGACAACAAATATGACACCTCAGTGTCAACAGCAAGTTTTTCAAGAGGTTGCATTTATTAGCTGTTGCATTGATTGTGTCACAGTGTATAGGTGTTTTAAATTAGTCTGGCCACTCAGTGTATATGCTTTATTGAATATCATGTGCATATGCTGCCACAGATTGTTTTACAGACTGCACGTACAAACGGCATGTTGGGTGAATTAGTTAATTCTATGTAACCCAAAAAATGGAAAAGCGCTGCATTCTGTAAAATGATTGACAGCTCTGAGTTCCAGATAAAACATCAGGGGGTTGATGTAACATTCCCCTCTTCTCTATTTTCTGTGATTCCTCCCCTGTCTCCTCCCCTTCATCAGCAGTTCCTCTGTTCTCCTCTCCTCCAGCATCTTCACCTCTTATGTATTCTCTCTTCCTCCCGCTCTCCTAATTCTATCCTATTTACATCCTTGCTCCAGCAGAGAACTGATCCCTGTGGTGTAGGTCATGTTTGCTTGTGTACGTGTGCATGTATATGGTTATGTGTGTAGATAAAGAATTTTGGATGTGGGTGTGTATAATTATATGCATATACCATAGGAAGGAAAATGGTGTGTTTTTCAGCAAGCAGCAGTGTCTGTAAAGCATGTCTCGTATGTATCTACTGTATGAATGGGTGTGTGTATGTGTGTTTGTGTACATACAAGTGTATCACAAGCGTGTCTCTGTGTTTCTAGTTCTTTTTTGACAAAAAGAACAAAACATACCTGTACAAGTATTGTGGTTAAACTAACTACAAACTATCTAATCACTATATGGGCAGTGTTATGTTACCACTAAGTTTTTTATCATGATCTTATATATGAATCTTGTAATTTTATATTTTGTTAAGAGTCATATCTCTGGGGCGTCCAGATAGCTCACCTGGTAGAGCTGGCCAGAGTCCTTGCTGCAGCAGCACAGGGTTCAAATCCGACCCGTGGCCCTCCGCTGTGTGTCGTCCCCCCTGTCCATGTGAAGAGGAAAAAGTGGGTGTGGAGAATGGATGTACAGTGTGCACGTATGGAAAATTGTAGAAGAGTATTCACAGTGTTGGTCCACATCTGCTTGTAGTGCTGGCTCAGGGTCAGCCTATGCTTCCACTAGAGAGGGCTGTTATGTTATATTTCGGTCAACAAATTTTGGTAAAAAAAAAAAAAAGGAAATGGCTGAATCTGTCACTGTGCTAATCTGCACTATATTTAGGGCCATTTAAATGTCCAGCATTAAAGATTGCATTAATACAATGTATTTGTTTTGAATTCTTGATTTTGAATATGCTTTAGATATGTGGTTCTTAATTGGTCCCACCCTGGGACCCGCATTTAATAAGCTAGTAATGATAATATATGATACAATTTCGTCATGGCCTTTTTTAACTTAAAAAAGATTTTCATACCTGCATTCAGGGATTGTGCTATTAGATCTGAACTGCCAAGCTTAGCTTTAGACGCCATTTTGTAGGTCTTACTTACACAGTTATGCAGTTATAATGTTAATTTTATTCATGTTAATATGAATAAGCAGCACACAGTTGTGATGTTCATAGTCAGGCGTTTCAAGATATTTTTGACTGGGGTGATACAAGTGGGGCACTGACTTGTGCGGGGGTATCTCAGTTTTCCAGTCATACCTAATTTATAAAATTCCAATACTGTTTAGGGACCCCAGTATGCAAAAATATTCAAATACACTAGGTGAAAAAAACACATTTATACCACATGCAAAAAAATGCATGGTTTTTGCTCCAAAAAGCATAGGATTAGCATCAAGTGGGCATGTCTGCAAAAGGGAGACATAAAGCCCTATTTCATTCAGATATCTTGAGGTCAGAGGTCAAGGGATCCCTTTGAAAATAACAATGCCAGTTCTTCCATAGCCAAAATGTTGCCTAACTTTGACGCATTATTTAGCACCCCTACCCATATGCTTGCATGGTATTGTTGGTTGGTACCAATTTTGAACTAGGGCATCTAGTTTAAAATGAAACGAATAGCTTCACTCTAACTTTAAAACAGAGCCCACTACAGCCTCTGAAAGACTGTGCAGAGTGGCAGCGGTAAGGATAATGGGGTGGCACTTACGTTGACCAATCAAATGTCAGGCGGGGCGGAGTACACACCCCTGAGCGGCTCCAGTGTTGAGCACTAAAATGGTGGGGTTTTTTGCCTTCTGGAATCTGTTTGTGATCCAGTAGCAGAGTGTGGTAAGTCCAGTTTCATCTTGGAGATTGTGTTAAAGGCTGAGCTGAAACAGCATTCTGTTCTCAAAGTATTTGAAGACTGAGTGGAGGTCAGAGGATCTGTTGTTCTGAATGCAAACTGGTGAAGGTCCAGGCTCTGTAGCTGCCGTTAACGTGCCACAGAACGGGGCTCGGCAGCCTCCCAGTAAATAAAGCCTCTGAGACAGACAGAGGGCCAGTTTGATGACATCAATACATAGGTGAGTTTCTTAATGTACTTGTTGCTAAAAGAAGCTAAGTGTTTACAACAGTAATGTTGCCCCAGGGTCCAAGGTGCCAAAACCGACGACAAAACCACCTTTGTACTTTATTCACTGTCGTCAAACTGTCTTCCACTCTGCATCAGATGCTGCACTCAGTTCCGGTCTGGCCGGCTGTTCACAGGAAGCTCCCAGTTTGGCAGAGTCAGCTAATGGTCGAGGCAGACAACCACCCACCTAGAGCCAAAGGGTCTGTCCTAGGTTTCCTTGCCCCTGTCGCAGAGTGTTTGCTCATGGTGGTACTGTTGGATCTCTGTAAATAATGTTATAAGGAGTTTGGTCTAGACCTGCTCTATTTGAAAAGTGTCCTGAGATAACTTCTATTATGAATTGGCGCTATACAAATAAAATCTTTATTGAAATAAATGGGTCTGCTACAGCTGCTTGAATAGGGAATCTAATCTCTGATTTCTGTTGCATGTGAACTGACATGAGGGTGGCACTGATCTTGTCATTTAACTATTGACGTTGAACTATCATTTAACTGTTGATATTAACTCTCATTTAACTCTAGACAAGAGAGCAAATAGGTGTAATTTCCAAAATGGAAAACTATTCTTTTAAGAATTTCTAACAAAATCTGACTCTTTAGACAGTCACTCCAAGTAGCTACAGTAGCTGTAAAAATGGTTGTAGTCAGCTTTGCTGAAGAGAGTCCAGGCTTGAAGCATTCAAACATCCATAGTAACTTCTCAAACCACTCTCAGCATAGCCCATTGTGTAGCTGTCCATCTGTGCTATAAAAAGTGGCCAAAGTGGACTGTCATTTGACTGTGGGTTTTTTTTGTACTTCTTAAATGTGCGTAGGGGCTGCAGTGTGAAGTATAAATATATTGGAATGTACTGGACACCCTGCTGTCTTGCTGTAAAGAATATGCTCTGATGTAGTGAAAATGAAGATTGCTATGCTTCATTGTTACCTTTGCGTTCAGTAGTAACAGACTCAGTTTTAGTGTAATGTAATTAGTTTGACTAAATATATCAAATAAAGAAAATATTTAGTGTAGACATTATGCCGTATAGTCGGGCTATTCAGTTGGCAGCCCCAGGGACGGGTCAGGCCCCTGAGGGATTTTGTACCGGCCCTTGGAGTGAAGTGTAGTTACTACATATGGGTAGTCTCATACAGCGCGTGACTATGGTTAA